TATTAAAAATTCCAACTCAACTAAAAATCTGTTGGATGTAATCAATGTATTCAGTAAATTTGCAGGATATGAAATCAATGCACAGAAATCAGTTGCTTTTCTATAAACTAACAATGAAACATCTGAAAAAGAATTAAAGAAAACTCACAGAAAGATTCACAATAGCATCAAACATAACAATACCTAGGAATAAATTTAACCATGAAAGTGAAAGATCTGTACAACCAAAACTACAAGACTTTATGGAAAGAAATCAAAGAAGACACAAATAAATGGAAAGACATCCATGTACTGGATGGGGCCTGCAGCGGTACCTGGCGGGGGCGGAGAGAGCCGCCACCGCCGCGGGCAACAAAAGGAGAAGGCGGAGCGGGAGGCAAAATGCCTACAGCACCCAGTGTTCCCAGGAGCTCTCCTGTCCAGGAGGTCTCACCATCCAAGTACTAACCATTCCCAAAGCTGCTTAGCTTCCGAGATGGAGACGAGATCGGGCCGGTCTAGGGTGGTTTGGCCGTAAACACTGGTAATGTCGCGGGCTGTCTCTTGAGGCGCAGCTTAGCAGGCGCTTGGGGCTTACCGCCAGCCCAGCGGCCCGCCTGCCCCGGCAGGACCCCGCCGCCTGCCTAGGCAGCGGAACGGAAGTCTCGGGTACCCGGGGGTGGGGGAGGAGTTGGCGACCACCCAGCCCAGGGCGGGCGGGACACAGCAAGCTTTTCGGCGCTTGGCGCCCCGCTCCGTATCCCACAGGTCGCTCACAGCGACGTGGCCCCGGAGGCTTCAGGGCCCGGGGCCCGCGGTCGTTTGGGCATCCCACCTGCCGGCCCACGCAGCGCTAGGCGCAGCCCAGACGCAGACCGGCCCGGCGCTCCTGCCCGACAGCAGCTGGCCCGAAGCCACTGGGAGCCACCATTGAGTTGGCATGGCCCCTTAGACCCAGCAACGCCACCCTTGCCCCGATGCCACCGTCTGAGCTCAGGACCCCTCCCCAGGTGGCTGGCAGGCCCGAGGAATCGGCCTGGGCCCTCGATCCCGCTCCCGACCGCGGCCACAGCGAAACGGCGGAGGGTGGGCTTTTTCCGGATGGAGCTGTGGAGAGACACACCGGAAGACTGGTGGCGGCGCCGGGGCTGGGCTCCAGTGGCTGCGGCCAGGTGCAGGTCGCGGGGCTCGCGGGCCGCAGGGACGGCAGCCGGGTCCGCGGCCATGTCTGGGCGGCGTCGGGCCGCCCCCGGAGCCTCTGGTGTGCCGCTGCCTTCCAGGGACGCCTTCTGGCCGCCTGGCCGGTCAGGCAGGCGGGGAGCGCCCCATCAGACGCTTGCTGTGGTGGGAGGGGTCTGAGGAGGTGGGGCCTGCAGCGGTACCCGCCGTGGGCGGAGACGGACGCCGCCGCCGCAGGCGACAAAAGGAGAAGGCGGAGCGGGAAGCAAAAAGCCTACAGCACCCGGTGTTCCCAGGAGCTCTCCCGTCCAGGAGGTCTCACATCCAAGTACTAACCAGGCCCGACCCTGCTTAGCTTCCGAGATCGAGACGAGATTGGGCCCGTCTAGGGTGGTTTAACCGTAGACACTGGTGGGGTCGCAGGCTGCTCTTGAGGCGCAGCTTAGCAGGCGCTTGGGCCTTACCGCCAGCCCAGCGGCCCGCCCTCCCGTGCATGGCCCCGCCGCCCACCTGGGCAGGGGAAGGGAGGTCTCGGGTACTGGAGGGTGGCGGAGGAGTTGGCGACCACCCAGCCCAGGGCGAGCGGGACACAGCAAACTTTTCGGCGCTTGGCGCCCTGCCCCACATCCCGCAGGCAGGTCACAGGGACGTGGCCCCGGAGGCTTCAGGGCCCGGGGCACGCGGTCCCTTGGGCATCCCACCTGCCGGCCCACGCTGCGCTAGGCGCAGCCCAGACGCAGACCGGCCCGGCCCTCCTGCCCGACAGCAGCTGGCCCGAAGCCACTGGGAGCCACCATTGAGTTGGCACGGCCCCTTAGACCCAGCAACGCCACCCTTGCCCCCACGCCACCGTCCGAGCTCAGGACCCCGCCCCAGGTGGCCGGCAGGCCCGGGGAAGCGGCCTGGGCCCTCGATCCCGCTCTGGCGCCCGGCCGCGGCAAAACGGCGGCAGGGGCGTTTTTCCGGATGGAGCTGTGGACAGACAGCCTTGGTACCTGGGGATTTGAAACCAGAAGTCCTGGACGGAGCTGTCAGTTCCCTGCTGAGTATCTTCGTCAAGTCACAGGACCTTGGTGAACCAGTTTCTCTTCTGTCTAATGG